CATGGATAGAGTATTCCAGAAATGGCCAGAAGCTATGGGGAGTGTTGATGGGGCTCTTAGTGGAAGACATCCCTCTTCACTAAGCTCATTATTTTACCCTCGTATTATCCTGCTCTGCAGGACATTGTAAGTGATGGTCCTTAATGTCCTATCATATAAAATGGTTCTGTTCCTCCTCCCATGGGGGTACCAGTTATGGAGTAGTTTATCTCCAGTGGTTGAGCCAATGGTTACTTGAGGTTTTTTTCCTATAAGGAAGAGGCTGAGAGAGCTGGGACTCTTCAGCCTGGAGAAGTGAAAGCTCAGAGGCAATCTCATCAATGTGTATAAATGCCTAATGGAAGGGATTGAAGATGGGAAGGGCAGACTCTTCTCAGTAGTGCCCAGTGACAGGACAAGAGGGAATGGACATAAATTAAAAAACCATGAAATCCCATCAGAACACAAGAAAACACTTTTTTACTGTGAAGGTGGTCAAACACTGGAATATATTGCAAAGAGAGGTTGTGGAGTGACCTTCTGTGGAGATATTCAAAATCCGACTAGACACAGTCTTGGATAACCTGCTCTATCTGACCCTGCTTGAACAAGAGCATCGGACTAGTTGATCTCAAGAGCTCCCTTCCAATCTAAATGATTCTGTGATTCCATGACCTATAGGTTAGCGAAGCCACTGTGGCCAGACTGTAAATTGGATGATAGCGCTGGACTGGAGCAGCAAACTTGTACCAAAACATAATTACTGGAGCAGGGTAAGGAAGAAAAAAAAAAAAAAAAAAAAGTCACGCTAGGAGACTAAGAAAGGGAGAGTTTCATCATGACTGCTTCCTTGGAGTGTTACATTTTAAACCCAGAAACTTCTTTTTCTGTTTTCTACTTTATAACCCTTTCGTAATGGTGACAACAGGCTGGCATCTGGTACTGGAAGAGAAATGTAGGTCTTTGGATTACATAGGGCAGATGGAGCTCCCTCTCAGATAAAATCTGGGAGGGCTAGAGAACCAGACCATAAGCGTATTAGTAAATGCTGGTCCTTTGTCTAAGGGGAGTTCAGGAACTTGAAAAGCCCATTCTCCTTAGGAAAGAAGATACACAATAGGACAGTTTTTGCAAAGGGGATATGTTGTATGATATTTTTGCAAAGGGGATATGCTGTATGATACAAAGCTGACAGGGAAAACTGGGCATACAAACCAAGAGGGCTGAATTCAATGTGGGACAGCAGCAATAATTTCAGACTGAAATAGTTTGGGTATTGACCAAAACCAAAATTGGCTTTCAGATCTTTAGCACTTCAGAAAGTATACTATATGATTTAATATGGAAATGAGATGCACTATTTATTAATATATTTAAATATCCGCATGAAAACTTAGGTTCTAAACTAAAAGTTATGTGGGCTTAATATATCCGTTGATACAAGTCATTTACTATTTAAGTGAAAAGCTAGTGTAGGTATACCTCTTTTTCAGCATTATTTTATGCATTTCTCATTTCCGTATTGGAAAGGCCACAGCATCAAAATCAACAAAATGTAAAACATCTTAAATAAGACCCCTGCATCCAAAACCAAAAAACCTGCTAAGCATTTTAATGCCACAGTAACTCTGATGTAACAGGTTCTAAATAGCACTCTTGGAATGTGACATTCTTTGCCAAGGTATGAAATTATTTCATATTTTTTATATTACTTAAACAATTATTCTCAGGTTCTTCCATACAACTGATACATGCTGATTAGTGAAATCAATGATATAAACATCAATGAGAATTAACTTTTGCAAAATAATTTGATACCATGTGAAATAATTTTCATTACAAGTCTTGATTAAAAAAAATAAAATCAAATTAATTTTTATTGATAATGTCATTGTAAGGATATATGTAGTAGAATTTATTTTTATTCGATTCCATCTGGTAATAGTTTAATTTCATTAGAGCATTTATGTTCCTATGATGCACAATCTGTTGACTCAGATACTCAGGTGCTTGCTTATCTACCTTTAAATACAGATATGTTTTGTTACATGACCCTAGTGTGCTAATACTTTATGATAATTTAATTCTAATCCTGTGTGGTGCTGAAAGGGTTTAAAAGTGAAACAGCTCTGCTGGGGAAATGCTGTGACCCCATATCAATGGTTATTGCATGATCATTTTGAGAAAGTAAAAGGGCAACCAAGTGAAACATAGCTTTCTCCAAGTGGGTTCAGAGACTTTCATACTTTCTACTCTAAGTTACCTTTTCTAATTTAAAAGCAAAAATCCACCACTCTACTTAATTAAAACATTACAGTTCTTGCTGAAGGGAAAGGCTAAGTGAATGATGCATGCAGGAGAGGCATTAGTCACAGCCCGGTTGGTCTTATGAAACTTATGAGACAATGAAGACCAGATCTACAAAGCTGCTTAAGTATCAGAGTCAAAAGTTACAGGTCGTGAAAACTCATACACTTCTGTCACATAACCCTGGACATGTTTAAATGTTGAGTACCCTTATTCTCAAAATTAAGGTTTCTCAGCCTGTGAGGACCTAAGCATTCCTGAAAGCACTTCACTAGAGCTCAGTTCCCATCTTGCACCTTAATTTCTGAAGAATTTAAAATTTATTTCATTTATCCTTAAAATTTTGAACAGTAGATCATGGACATCTTCTGTATCCTATTCCCTAAAGTGCAAAAATGAAGACCAATTATATTTTAAAAGAAAGGCAGATATTTTTCCACAATAAGCATATAATATCTGTTATGATAAAACAGCAAGCCATTGAAATATGTTTTGCTGCTACAAATGAAATGAATCTCAAAATAATAAAATATGATCTAGGAAGTTCTAATAATTCAATAATCAATTTAGGAAATGCTAAATACTTGAAGGAGAGAGATTTTTAGCTCTGAAGATCAAGAACCTATATTTTATTGCTGTTTTATATACATAATATATATATAAATATACCATTTAAATGTATATATATAAAGAAGTTACAGTTATGTAAAGAATTTTTTATTAAATAACATTTTCTGCAATACTGGGCCCTGAGTAACATGAAACTAGTGTAAGTCCAGATATTAGAAGAACAGATTTGGGCTCATATGTTTTGTCTGAAAACTTTGTTAGATTCTACTTCTAGTCAATGGTAAATCAGTACAGAAGCTGGAATAAGTTCTCCTTAAGTATATATCCAAATGAAAAGACAATTAGAAATGATAAAAAGTCTTAATCAAACCTAAAATTTTTATTTTGAATTTAGACTCCCTGCTCTGAGTGCTATTAAAAATTAATTAAGTTCTGTGAGTTCATAAAATGTACTCCACCATCGCAGTGCTTCTCAATAATATTAGGTCTTTGGATTAATATGCAATTGCAAAGTTTGATGTTGGTTCCTATTAAGAAGTAGTTATATTTTTTTCATAATGGGATTTAATGTCAGTTTAACCAGCCTTAATTAAACTTTGGCTTATAAATAATTTTATTGAGAAGTGCAATGAATTTTTCTGAGTTTTATGGCTTTTTAATTAAAATTAATTAAGCCAACTTGTGGTTAAGTGTCTGTGAACTAGTTCCCTTACATTTCCAAGCTATTGTACAATGTTCTAGATACACAATTTAAACTTTATCAGGAGTCAATGGATTAAAACCTTAGGTCATAAAAATCTAGGGGGTTAGGTACCTGTTGACATTTAATCAAGCAATTTTAAAAAAGAACTGAGTCATGTTTTGATCTAATTATCAGTTATGTAAAGATAATTTAACAGCATGGTTAATATAGACTATGACCATATATATACCTTTGATTGTCTGTCATGTCAGCACCCTAGTTTGGTTGTATATGTAGAGTTAAAAAGTTATTTATTGAAAGTTAAACTTCACATGTAAAAGTATTCACATTCATAATAAGCAACGAAGATAAGATAATAAGATATGAAGTCTATCCAAAATATCATTAGGAAATTCATTATTATCTTTTATCTATCATATATTCTAATTTTTTTCTCCCTCCAACACTTTTTACATTTTTGTTTTATGTCAAAAATTAGATTTTTTTCCAGGAGGAGGGTCTTGTGCCTCCAGTCCATACTTACTTTACTTTCTTCTTCTAATTGTCTATGAATCAAAAATATGAGAACACATTTGCAATTTCTCCACAGAGATCAAGCGTCCTAAAAGAAATATTTGGAGAAAGATACCCTGCAGAACTGTGCTTCTGTTGTGGCTTGTTTATGTAGGGTAGGTAGTTCAGAGAGCACTTAATTCAGTTCTTAGGATTCAGTCAACTAAATGAAACATTTTTGTTCAGCTTATATTGTTTTTATATATATATATATATAGCTTATTATTGTTTGTATGTATATGTTTTTATATAGTTTACATAGGTTTTGTTTATTTTTTATAGTTATTCCTATATGTATTCTATATCTGAATACTGTGAGATTTTAATTGCTGTGCACATTTTGCATGTTAGCTGGATGTTAACAATATGTTCTAAACAAGTTCAAGAAACAATGTTAAGTTCATGGTGTTGATCTTCCTCTCAGCCTTGTCATATGTATAGACAGCCGTCATCTGGATATTGATAACACAACTGTATATGACTGACAAGTTATTTAAAAAATAGATCTGATGACAGTATGTGCATGTAAAGATTTACAATACGTTGAATGTGCTCAATTACAACTGAGTTTATAGAACTTTCAAACAATATGCAGACCTGCACTAGCCTTTACTAATTCTGACAATTTTTAGTTACAATGTTACCATATAATCATGTTGCTTTCTGAATATATTTGTATATTATATATATGTGTATATATATATATATCCGTATATGGATTACAACTATAGCTGTTTAATTCTAATCATCTTTAGGTTGTTTTTTTCTCATGAGCTTTAAGAGGGCTGGGTGTGGCAGATATTGACTAATCCTATAGGTTTATTAGTTTTAACAGCTGCTTTTATTTTCTTCCAGTATTAGTGAATCTGAAATACTTTCTTCTTCTCAGGAGAATATAATGGAAGTTATAAGAAATCAAGAATTTTTACTGCTACCGGCTGAAGAACTCCATAAACTTCTTGCTAGTGACGATGTGAATGTTCCTGATGAAGAGACCATCTTCCATGCCTTAATGATGTGGGTGAAGTATGATATGCAGAGGCGGTGCAATGACCTAAGTATGCTACTTGCTTATATCAGATTACCACTGCTTCCACCACAGGTATTTTTTAATAATAATAATAATAATAACAACAGTAATAATGTTATTGTGAAAACTGCTATCAGTTTATAGTCTGAAACTTCTGAATATTCTGGTGTTTAAAAGCAAAACTGTTCAGAATTAGAAAAAAATCAATATTAGCCCTTCATCCAGAGTGACCTCAATAAACTTGAGGATTGGACCAAAAGATACCCAAGAAGTGCAGAGTTGTGAAACTTAAGAGGAGTAACTGCAGATATCATAAGATGTTAAGGACAGGCAGGATAGTGAATATTCTCAGGAAAAAAACCCAATGGGGATTATGACAGATACCAGGCTGAATACGAGCCAACAGCATGAATGAGGAAAACTGCATATTGGTCTGTATCAGGAAAAATTCTGTCAGCAGGCCATATGAAGTTATTATTCCCACAATACCTGGTGCTGCTAAGGCCATACCTAGAATATTGTTTCTGATTTTTCACTCCACAATTTGAAAGGCATAGGAAGAAACTGGAGAAGGTCCAGTGGTGCAATCATCTTCATTAAAGGTTTTCCTGAATTAGCTAGACCAGGTCATCACCAAATCCAGTGTTGGCATTAGCCCTGAGTGAGAGGTTGAACTAGTTGACTGCTGGCGGTCCTTTGGAGCTCTCTTCCTATGAATGTTCTATGATTCTGTGATTCAGGCACCAGTTCCCTTTTTTCCCCAGAATAGTAAATAGTAATTTTATTCTGTTTAGTACCTCCAGATAATCATTCTCCCTTCAGCTGGTGTACTGGGTCTGTCCGGAGTGGAGTTAACATTCTTTGTGGCAGCCTGGATGGTGCTGTGCTTTCCACTTGTGGCTAAAAGAGTGTGGGTAACACACCAATATTTTGACTGTTGCCAAGCAGTGCTTACACAGCATCAAGGCTTTCTCTCTTCCCTACCCCACTACCCTTCCAAAAGCCAGTAGGTCAGCAGTGGGAAAGAGGTTGGGAGGAGACACAGCCAAGACAACTGACCCCAGCTGACCAAAGGGATATTCCATACTGTATGACATAATGTTCACCAATAAAAAGCTCAGGAAAAGGAGGAAGGGGGAGGATGATCGTGGTTGTGGCATTTGTCTTCCCAAGCAACCGTTATACGTGCTGAGGCTGTGTTTACCAGTACGTGGCTGGACATCTGCCTGCCAATGCAAAGTAGCGATTTAATTCCTCTTTTTGCTTTGTTTGCATGCACGGATTTTGTATTCCCTATTAAACTGTCTTTGTCTTGATCCATGAGTCTTTCACCTTCCTTTTATTTTTTTCCCCATCCCACAGGAGAGGGGGAGTGAGAGGCAGGGTGGGTGTTTGGGTGCTGGCCAGGGTCAACCCATCACGGCCCTTTTTGGTGCCCCATGCTGGGCACCAGAAAGGACTGTTTATGCGGAAGGTCACAACACTGAGAGTTGGACAGTGATGAGGAAGGTCAGCGTCAGCTGCTGCTTCAGTCTTGTTTTTTGATGGTGACTTTTTGATAATTCCATAATTGTGCTAGCAATAATGTCAGTTCATATCAATGTCTACAGGAGTTATTTCTACATAGGAAGCCAGAGACAATGTTCTCACATACCTGAATCTCTTAGTGTTAATTTGAGCTTACTTACTGTTCCTTAGAGATCAAATCCTGAGCTGAGGGTCCAATGAATAAACAAAGGAGTCACTGATACAGCAAAAGATATCGCTGAGGTATTTCTTTTTTATTTATTTATTTCCTTCAGACCATGAAAGAAAAAAAGAAAAAAAAAAAAAAAGACAATGGCAAATATTTTTGGTTGTGAACCCAAGTTGCAATCTGGATATTAACCTTCCAGAATGATCCACTTCTCCAAAATCAAGAAAGAAATCCATGTTCAAATCTGCTTAAAAATCAAGTCAAAGGTAATACCAGAATCCTCAAATGACATCCTGAGGTTCCTTCATATTTGGTATATGAAACTGCAATATAAAAAGAAAAACAGGGAGAGACCTCAAAGACCAAATCTTGCTCACCCTTAGTGCTCAGCTGTTAAATCAATCCCTGGCTCTGGTTTGAACCACTCCAGTTAGCTTTCTGCCAGACAAGTATGCCATAGGGGATGGTAGTGCTAACCCAGTTGGTGCTACTCAGTCATCTCTTGCCACGTTTCCTTCACCAGTGTGAGCACAGCATGTGATTCTCTGACATCCTTAAGTAGTTATTCTGTTTCAGCTAATATTTTGAATACTATGGGAAGAAAGGTGAGGGTAGGCTAAGAGTGGCAGCTCACTACATGGCCAGATACTGGTATTGTAATGACTATGATGTACAAAAAATATACCCACTCTGAAAGGGATCAAGAAAAGAATGGTAGGAATGAGGTGATTAAAACAAGAACTATCATAAATCATGATGCTAAGATTTACAGGTACTTTGTGTCATCACGAGATCTCAGAGGGTTGGGTGGGTTTTTTTGTTTTACTTTCCAAAATAAAATGTGCTACAAAGGAAACAGTCAAATTTGACAAAGTTAAAGGTTTCTTTGCCAGAAATGTGAGCTGTTTATTTTTCAATGTCTATGCCAATTGAGAAGCTAGAACAAATACTGTGCATTACAGCAGTCTTTAAAGTGTTGTGTTTTTTTTTTAAAATCTGCCAAGCACTTACAAAAGGTAACTTAAACTGCTCACACACCAGCCTCAACTCTAGCTCTTACTGTGTAGAAAGAGGTCATGCAGGCTTTGTTGGTTACTGGTCCCTGCCCTAGTTCTTAGTAATAATTTTCTTTATAATCAATATCTGCAAGATCTACCACTACAGAGTTAAATATAACTATTGACCTAAGTCAGATGAAAGGAAGACAACTATTTTGTTTGTTCTGTGAATTGCTGAAAATGGTGAAAAATAGACCCAAGATTAAAAAGATTACTTTCCATTTCAATAGTCTTATGTAACGTATCAGGTAATGTATGCATGTGTGTAAGGTATGGAATGGTCTCATTCTCATCTAGATTCCCTTTCCCATGAAAGGCTGGACCGGAAGATCTTTCAAAGTTGCTTCTAACCTGAGCTGTTCTATGATTCTATGTTTTTATGATTCTATGATCCTATGGTGTATAAAGTATCAGCTGAGATAATTTAGAGGCAAGATTTCAAACTACTTTTATGTTCAGAATCTTCTAATCCCACTGCAAATTCTAAATATATGGCTCATAAATTTAGCTGCATTCCTCCAATCAATAGGGATTTTACTTCATCTAGGCATCACATACTTTACTTACCTCTGCACTGCTAATTGCTTGCAAGCCATTGATCCCCACGTTACCAAGCTGAGTGTTAGAATCATAGAATCGCTTTGGTTGGAAAAGACCTTTAAGATCATCAAGTCCAACCTTTAACCTAACCCTGACATCCCACCACTAAACCATGTCCCTAAGCACCTCACTTCTTTTAAATACCTCCAGGGATGGGGACAGTGAGGTGGATTGGGAACTGGCTGAATGGCAGGGCTCAAAGGGTTCTGATCGGCGGGGCAGAGTCCAGTTGGAGGCCAGTAGCTAGTGGAGTTCCCCAGGGCTCGGTACTTGGCCTGGTCTTGTTCAACTTGTTCATCAGTGACCTGGACGAGGGGACGGAGTGTACCATCAGCAAGTTTGCTGATGACACAAAACTGGGAGGAGTGGCTGATATGCCAGAAGGCTGCGCTGCCATTCAGCGGGACCTGGACAGACTGGAGAGTTGGGCAGAGAGGAACCTGATGAAGTTCAACA